CCAATTCATTAACCAAACATGAGATGCATGTAGCGCCCCACACTGTTGCAGTCCCCTGTCACAAGCGTCAGCCGGTGAGCATTTTAAGTCATGGAATGCATCACACATATTCCATTAAAAAGCCAATGCAATGCCAAAAGTCAAATATCATTTCAGGCACTAAATAATTAAGACTAACCTCATTTTTTTATTTGTCAAAAAAAAAAAAATACTAACCTCATTTTTTTAATTTTAATAAAAACGTACCCTATTTTTAAGGTTGTCTCCTTTACGAATGTCTTGATTACTTGTGCCCTCCCTACTCATGTTGCTTTCCTCCACGTGCAAGCCATGGATTGCCCGTGTTGATGTCTCTCTTGCAACGTGCCCCTTTATATTAAATATGTAAAGTGCATTTATATGATGGATGAGGTTTTTATAAGACTTAGGCTTAAAATAAATAAATGCTTCATTTCAAATCCTCGTCCGGAAAGCACTTTCGGCAACAGAAATCTTCATGATGGCTCTAAAAACAATTTTCAACCTTGATAATGAAATTCAAAACTCAAAACATGGTACACATCTCACGGATCTATGACTACTTATTTTTAGGGAAAAATGAACGATCTAGATAATTTGTTACAATATACACTATTTTAGAGCTTGAAATCTTTTTTTTTTTTTCACAACCCCAATGGTCAAGCCATGATGATTAATGTAAATGTTCTATAATACTTGAATTGCAATTTTCGATGAGTTATGAGGTGAGAAGCTTTACTTGTTTTGATAGGGCTGCAGCCCTATAAAACCGTTTTCCTTATCTAGGTGCTTACTTCTTATCCACCATATTTACAAGTACATCATGGCTGGTACCATTATTATATGAAAATAATATTGGGAGAATAAAGTAAGGCCAACCAAGTATTTTGATCTACTATACTTGCATATATCATCACCTAGTATTGTTTTTTATGTTTTTGACAATATCACCCAGTGTTTTTATCATATCAAAATAAATATTAGGGGAATCAGGGAGAGTTTTGAGCACCCAAATGTGTTCATATGGGTAGAGCTTAGAGGTCAATTATTGGGGTTGAAGGGACGGTCAGGATCACTTGGGCTCAACAGAAATGATTCATCACTATTTATGCCGTACCCACTTGCTCTGAGGCCTAAGCCAAACATTAAGAGGGAATAAATCAAATCAAATCCGATTCCTAAAATGGCAACTGCATTTAAGATTTGAGAGGGGAAATTTAATAGAAAATAAATTAAATGGAGCCATTTTATCAAGAAAGGGAGGGAGACATTTTACTTTGGTGAACGAAAAACTGACCCCGGAATGACTCTACAAAGCCACAGTTTGCTTCGGGTTATTGGAGAAGTATAGAAGGAGACCATTTACTTATGGTATAAAATGGTCACAATTTCTCTTGACCATTGAATGTGGAATTAGGTGGCCGCATTTACTCTATTGATCATGCTTAAACTCTATTGATCATGCTTAAACTTTAAAAGAAATTTTTTTGAACTTTATGATATCAAGCTATAAATTTCAAATCAGATAGTTATAAGTGCATATGCATATCAAAGTAAATGATCTTTTGTATACAATCCAGCACAATACACTCAGACTATTTGAAAAACATGCGCATATAAATGCTCCCATTGGTGCGTGCTGTATACTTAATCTGTCCGGAGAAAAAGTTCTTTGAGAGGATTTTTTGGATCTTAAATCACCAAATGGTTATTTTGAAAAATAAATTAAATTTTGAGTTTCTCAGTGCTTAGATCTCATCCAATTGGATAGTGTTTTGTTCATTCTTGCAAAAAAAAATTTGGAAATTTACGTAGAGATTGGAAAATATTGTCTATATTTTTGGACACAGCGAAGGTCCATCTCTCTCATCCCTTCTTTTTTATTCTGGTTTTGCCAACAGTTTTTTTTTTTTCCGACCGTCCAATACCTCATACTTTTTCTAAAGATCATGGTCTAATGTAGGAGACATCGGATCAAAATTTTATTAAAAAAAAGGAAAAATAGAATGATCTGGTATCTCTTATATTGGACAGACCTAACGAACAACACACATAAAGATATTCATGCTCTTTATGTCCAAGGTATTCTACCAGACTATAAAGAACCTAGTTTATAACAAAAACCTTTAAAATTTGGCAGAATTTCGTAAATTCTAAGAGCTTAGGTAGACTGGCCAATTTGGAAACTAAGAGAGTGCTCATGGGATCAAGGAGACGGTAAAAAATGTCAAACCTAGGTACTTCGATAGAACACAAAGACCCTAGTTTCCACAAAAACCTATAAAATTTGGCAAAAAATTCGTAAAGTCTAAGAGCTTAGGAAGACTAGACATTTTGGAAAATTAAGAGTTCTTTTTTTTTTGTGGTCCAGCAAACCACTTAGAACATAATTTGATAGTTGGGTAGGTCCAATGTTAGAGATATTAGACCACCGTAATTTACCTTTCTTGTTAACAATTTCAACCCGATATTTCCAATAACGTTTCAATATAATACTACTCCAGAAATGGGTCAGTCCAATATTCTTAGCATTGAATTGCCTTAGAAACATAAAAAATAAAAAACCATCGATGTTTCTAATATCAGACCCTAGCTATAACTAAAAAAAAAAGATGAGAGAAAGATCTCCCCAGAAAACTATGGACGAGAATGTAATTGCGGTAAAAATTTCTAGTCTTCACGTAAATTTTCCTTCTTTTTTCTTTTTCTCCTCAGGCACATACAGGGTGACTTGAAATTTCTTTTAGGTTAGTTGCTAGTTTGAAGCATATATTACCAAACTTTTTTTTGTTTAATGTTCACACAAGACGTATATCACCAAAACTGATGGTCATGAAAAAGACTTCATAACAATTTTTTTTAAAAAAAACAAATCTACCTATTTTCCGTTTTTCAAAAACTGAAATCACACCAATTTCGGTTTTTGAAAAACCAAAAATTTAAAATTTTCAAGAACTGAAATTTTTGAATTTTGGATTCTTCTAGAATCGAAACATGTTTTTTCTCTCTTGTGGCATATTCTCTTTGAAGTCATAATTATCCAATAAAATCAAAAGGGAACAACTAGTTTGAGCCCCTAAATTTAGGAAAAATCTTAGAGATTATGAAATTAGAAGATTAGGAGAAATATTATGGCACATTCTTTTTCTACCTTACTGAAATCATGGTTATAGGATAAAATCAAGGGAACAACTAGTTTGAGCCCCTAAATTTAGGAGAAATCTGAAATCATGGTTATTGGATAAAATCAAGGGGAACAACTAGTTTGAGCCCCTAAATTTAGGAGAAATCTGATTATGAGATTAGGAGAAATCTTGTGACGTATTTTCTCTCTACCCGTATTTTCTCACTACCTCGCTTGAGGCGTATTTTCTCTCTTGTGGCATTTTCTCTCTCTTGTGGCGCATTTTCTCTCTACCTCTCGGAAGTCATAGTTATAAAGTCATAGTTATCTAATAAAATCAAAAGGAACAACTAGTTTGACCCTCTACATCATAGGAGAATGGAAAGCTGATGACTCGGCCCAAGATGCCCTACCTTCAAGAAGAGATCTCTTGTCAATTCAAGCTCTTCCACATGGGAATATTCAAATTTCTTTCTCAATACGCTAGGTGAAACTTACCTAAAAAAAGAGAGAGATAGAGTTTAAAAAAAAAATCATTTTTACCTGTGTAACGTAGAGAGAGAGGTAGAGAGAATATGCGAAGGACCCACAAGAGAGAAAAAAAATTGGGTTCTTAAAAAACCAAAATTTTTAAATGTTTTGGTTCTTCAAAAACAAAAATTGACTAGATTTTCTATTCTTCAAAAACCGAAATTGACTTGATTTCGGTTTTTGATAAACCGAAAATACGTAGTTGCATCTTTTTTTAAAAAAATTGTTATGAAGTCCAAAAGATGAACGTATTAGTAATAACATAAAGTATTCGGTATTTTGATAATAACAGAAACTAAAATAGATATTTACATAAATTTCCCTTTATTTTTAGTTTGAGGAGGTCACAATTATTCTTCTTTGTCGAATCTTATATCGTGTAGTTGTAAATGCGTTACTAACTAAACTTAAAAGTTGAAAAAAGCAAAACTTCAAACTTTGTTACTTATCCAAGCCTCCAATTTCACATCTAATGTCTAGAAATAATTGTAATCTCTTTGTAAAGATAAATGGTATACCATGTATAATTTCTATTGTAACAAAAAACTGTTCATTTTTTTATGCTTAGAAGTGATAATATAAAGAAAAAAATTTATATAAGGTTGCAACCATAAAATGTAGAATTAAAGATGCACCTCAAAAATCTATCAGAAAGGTTGTTTTATTGTTGACAAACCCTCTAATTAATCATCTTGACAGCAAGATGCATGAATATGAAAAAAAAAATATTGAGTCTTAAAAATAGTGCATCTTGCTATACATTATCTAGACTGTCCATTTTTAAGATTTTCATATGTTTATAGATCTACGTGATTTTAATGATTTTTTAAATTTAAAATTTTACAATTAGATATGAAAATAGATTTGAAATAATCCTCAGTAATTTTTACACCAAAATCACATGTTATGATAAAATTTAGAGGTGCACCTGGATTGTTTAAGGTTGCAACCTTATAAAAACCACACCTTAATATAAATTATTATAAATAAAAACAATGAAGATGCCTGAGATGTTACATCATACGTCTCCATGGTTGGGAACCGGTGGGAGGTTTCACAAACGTCATATAAACCACACGTTGATTCCCTTCACACTAGCTCGTGTTCAACTCACGGTTGAGATTTCCCCCCTAGCACCTTTTCAGGACATCTGCACCGTCCGATCCTAGAGGGTGTCAGGGCAATGCGACAACAATATATTTACTAAAAAGGGTTACATTAAGTTACATGAAGACATACAAAATAAGTTTGCCCTGTCTCTAATGATACAATGGAGGTATATAAAGCCATGAATTAGAATGAGAAAGAGAGAGAAAACTTGAGACGGATGGAGGGCTATGGTGGAACAACAATGGAGAGCTTTGAGAACGTACTAAACCCCCTCCTTACTGAAGACAACGGAGAGTCCTTTGCTTGCCAGACTTTTTCGATAGAAATGTTCTCAGCACCTTCTTTTGGTGCCTTGTTTGATTTGGACTATGGTAGTAGCAGCAGCTTTAAGGGAGGAGAGATGAACCCCCCTTCTTTCCTTTTCGAAGAAGAAAGGGGGACGGTAGAATCCTCTGCCCTCATTAGCTCTTGTGACCGTTCTAAGACTCTTAGCTCAGAGAGGAGGAGGAGGGGAACGCTTAATGAGAGGCTCTATGCCTTGAGGACTCTAGTTCCCAACATTACTAAGGTAAGCCACAAGTACAACTCTCTCTTTCTCTGCATTTCAAGGGCATTGTTAGGTGTCATAATTAAATGGCATTGATATAAGTGTCAGAAATTGTACTTTTCTAGTTATGATTATAATCCGTGTATCATTAAAAAAAGAGGCAAGGGGAATTTTAGGTGACATTTAGATTTTAAGAGAAAAGGTTGTTCAAATGTCGAACTCGAGGGTTGCATTCACACGCACATGGTATACATGAAATCCATATTATGTAGCTCTACAACCATCGTATCTCTGTCGAGCACTCACGCACTTGCCCCCGCGCACACACACACTCAATCCGGCTTTTAATATGGGTATGATGTGTAGATGGATAAGGCATCCATAGTGGGTGATGCTGTGATTTATGTCGAGAAATTGCAAAGAGAAGCAAGAGAACTCAGAAAAGAAATCGCTATTCTTGAATCGACCATGCAAAGAGAAGGTGGAGGACAAGCATCTTACAATAAGAATACATCGTCCTCCTACACCATTAAACACCATCCCAAAGCTCAATCCCTTTGCAGAAAGATACTTCAGGTGTGTGTATTGATTTGTTGGTTATAATGAAAATTCATCAAAATCATTCCAGAGATGAACTACTAAAAATCTCACTTATGTATTTTCATTTAATTTTTAAAATTCGACGAAAGAAACATGATCATGAGCTAAAATAGTTGATATTTTGGGTGTGTTTTAATAAATAATTAAAATTTTACATCGTTTTGTTATAGAAGGATGAAATAAAAGTTACTGTTTCATGTTATTTAGATGTAAGGACAGGCGTTGATATTGTTGTTATGTGGTGAAGATGGATGTGTTTCAGGTTGATGAGAATGGGTTTTATGTAACGATGATTTGCGAGAAGAGTGAAGGGGTTCTGGCGGCAACCTGGGAAACTTTGGAATCCCTCTCGTGCTTCTATCTACTGTCTTCCAATTTTGCCACACCATCCCCGGAACGCACCCTCATTACATTTACCCTTCAAGTAATCTCTCTAAACCAATACTAAGTACTATTAGAGTGCAGCCAACTGGCTGCCCTGGCCCTAGCCCTGCTTTAATCCCTGTAGCATTGGCCCGGGTCCAACCCAGCCTTAATAGGGTGAAAGTGGCGCGGGCCCAGTCCTAGGCCAAATAGAAAAATAAATAATAACTTAAAAAATACGAAGAACGTAAGGGTTGGCCCGGTCGAACTGGGATGTCCTTATCTTGGGCCTAGCTCAGACCCACCTTTGAGAAACATTTTATGGGCCTTGCAGGGCTACCCCGCGCATTGCCACCCCTAAATACTCTCTCTCTCTCCATTGATGTGAGCTTTTATTTTTGGGGTGCGGTTTGTATAGAGCCGAGGCTCTAAACAATCAAATTAGAGCCTACTTTCAAATAGTGTGGAAAAATGTAATTTCAACATTAGAAAGTTTTGTGATACGCTTAAATTATATTTTCATCTTTATTTATAAAATTTAAAGCTTCAAAAATAATATATGTCGAGCAGATCTATGAAAACTTGAAAATCTTGAAATTGACAGTCTAAAAATATGCTATAAGATGCACTATTTTTAAAACTTGAAATCCATTTTTTTCTTATGTCCATTCATCTTGATGTCGAGATGGTCAATTTGATGATATTTCGGCATCAAAACAACGTCTTCTAGTGAAAGTTTTGCGGTAGGCTCTAATTTGATTGTTTAGAGCCTAGGCTCTATATAAAATTTGCCCTTTATTTATTAGCTTGACTTTTCCTTGGCATTTGTAGATAGTGGAATGGCAGAAGAAGATTAGTGTTCCCGCCGTGGAGCAGCAGCTGACTCACGCCCTCTCGATGCATGGCTTTCAATTCTAACATTTTACAGGATGGATAAAGAAGAAGATGATCACTTCACATCGGAAACTTACCCTTTCGTTTTCAAGATGACACAGCTTCTGTTCAACCCCCTCCTCAATACTATGAAACGCGGATTTAGAGCATTTTGTATTGGCTTAGAAAAAGAGACAATAAATAATTTTGCCTGTGGGCCCCTTTGCCCAACAACCCAAGTTGAGGGCCAATGGGGATTGCTACTAACATTTTAAGCTTTTTTTTATTAAAAAAATTGGGAAAGTTATATGGGAACCACTTTATTTTACCGTTATTATGTGATGGTCCAAAAGCATGTGGTATTTATACTGAGGTCCTTGTCCCCTAGTTTGTTTACTGTTTTTCCAAAGTTGCCCACAGTCTGATGATTTAAACATTCGATCGCATATTAAATTTTATTTTTTTCATATTATGACCACTTTAAACCTTCAAAAATTGAAATCTAAATGTGGTTCTAATATCATACTGCATTAAACCCTTAAAAATGATGTCTAGATGTGGTAAGATATTAGAAACATCAGATCACCTAAAATTTAGTATATTGTCATTATTTTGGGTGATAAGATGACAGTTTGAATGACAATTAGTTATTTAGCAAACATGCCACTCATCTAAATATAATATGTTCTGTATTATTGCTTCGTTAGTCGTCACTCATCTAAATATACTATGTTCTGTATTATTACTTCGTTAGTTGTTCAACACTATCATTATAAATATAACTGGGTACCGTTTGGATGCACCGATTTGTCATCTCTCCAGTGTTTTTCTCATTGATTCATTCATGTTCTTGAGCAATTTCTAGAGAAAACCCAAAGAGTATCTAATATAGGTTTTGGGATTGAGAAATTTTGCAACCAACATTTACGTGAACTCTAAAAATTCTACCATTCTTTTTGGTTTCCCCAAAGGGTGTGTTTTATATAAGGAAAAAGTTTATATAAGGATGCAACTTTACAATGTAGAACTATAGATGCACCTCAAAAATCCATCGGAAAATGTAGTTGTAATGTTGAAAAACCCTTTTATTGATCATCTCGACTCAAGATGTACGACTATGAAAAATATAAAGATTTTAAGTCTCAGAAATAGTGCATTTTACAACATATTATCTACACCGTTCATTTTCAAGATTTTATGTTTATAGATCTACTTGATTTTAACCATTTTTAAAATTTAAAATTTTATAATTAGATATAAAAATAAATTTTGAGATAATTCTAAGAACATTTTACATCAAAATTATATACCATGATAAAATTTGAAGGTGCACCTTACTTGTACACCTACGGATGCCTCCGTATGCAAATTGCACCATTAAACAATTAAAGTAAGGTGCACCTATAAGTATTGTTAAAAGATGCAGTTTTGATTCTAAAAACCCTTTTGATGACTTGAGAATGGGTTGAGGCCTTGGCAGTAGTACCAACGAGCTTTATGATGAATTCTCTAACTCTATTATCACTAAAGGGTAGGGGCCCAAATTCCTATTGACTTATCCTTTAATTATACAAAAAAAACCCTTATGATGACCTAAAGATCTATTCAAACCAACTTATGAAATTTCAATATCTAAAAATGATGCAGAACAAGCAGATCCGTAAACACTTGGAAATTTTGAAAATGGATGGTCTAGATAGTAGGTAAAAAGATGTACTTATTTTAGAAGCTTAAATCATTGTTTCTTATTCATGCATCTCTAAGTCGAGATGATCAATAGTAGGTTTTTTAGACCTTGGAACAACATTTCTTTTAGGTACGGCTTATCTTAGACCTTACATACTTTTTCAACCCCAAAATTACCACCCATGTTTGTCATGTCCCAAACTAATGCTACTTTTTTTTCGTCTTTGGCCTTTACTTCCTATTGAAACTTACCCCAAAATCTTCGACATAAAATATAAGGAACTCCTCCTTGGGATTTTGCCTAGGAGATGAAATTACTGAAAGGGGCCAATTACAAGGAGGTGAATTACTGAATCATCCTCTTTCTTGCCTAGAATGCAAACATCAGTAATAATCAAAACCTTTGTATCTAAAATGGTATAGACAATGTTTCAAAACTCAAAAAGGTGGGGCGGATAATTCACTCATAAATTTGTATTAGGTCGCTAGATCAGATCTGAATTGGTCCAAATCGATGATCCAAAAAAAATAAAAAATATATATTATCAAATTAAAATCAAAATTGGGGTTTATGGCATGGGAGTAGAGGGTACTTAACAAAATATTTGATTACCTTAAAATATATATATATACACACACACACATAAAAGTAAGGTTTTAAGGAAATACCGGGCGAAGACCCATACCATCAAGGAACCAATTCGATCCTGACCGATGTCCATCCAAATCGATGATCCGAATCAAAATTTAAAACAATGATTTAGTATGAGATTTTCACCTAAACTTGTTAGCCATAAGAATCTCACCTAAAATTGCTTGTCAGACAAAATCTGGATTTGTAGGTTCAACCGCTCTTTTCACAGTGATCAATATAATATTGCATTTTTTTAAAGGTGATAGGGAATTAAATCAAGAATACAATGGTCCTCATCCCATGAAAAAAGTCCTCCCAATAGTAGAGAAAAATCTCAAATCTACTGACATCAATCTTTTTTCTTTTCTTTCTTTTTCCTTTTTTTATAGGCTGGATGGGAATTTATGGTGGTCATGGAAGGTCTAAACGTTTGAAGGCGTGGTCCACACGCACCAGATGTCAACGCGTTTGGGATGCCTGTTATTGCAAGTACAAGGTAGCAAGATTTATGCTTTTCTTATTGGGAAATCGGGGCATAAATGGATTCCCATCATGGTTACTCAAACTATTTTCATTACTGTAAGTTGTAGACATGGCTTGACATGCAACTTTTCTATAGAGAAAGGTATGAAATTTAGGGTCCAATGTTTGGATCATAGTTCAAACCGACCAAGATATTAGGGCCCTGACAGAGGTGATTTACCTATGCAAGTCCAAGTAACTGACCGAATCAAGCTCTTTTTTAAAAAAAATAAAATAAAATAAAGATAAAATTATGTTATATATAATAAAATGCCACATTAAATCCTAGAGTTGCATATTGGCATGTTTGTTATTCTTTCTATTATAAATTGATCTCTTAACAAGAGGTTGTGCGATCTACTCTTGTGGAGGCTAATTTATTTTAAACTCCAAAAAGGCCGACGTTTTAAAAGTACAAAAAGCCAACAACGGGATTGGACCCTAACACGCTCGACTTTACATGAAAGTAACAACCATAAAAGGAATTTTTATATATCTAATGTAAGTTGGAGGTTTTAATATAATTAAACTAAAACAAGTGGTGTACAATTAACTTGGCCAAAACTCTATGCGACTATAGGGCGAGGCCGAGTTACCTCGACGAGTTTTATATTGTTGGTCTGGATTTAGCTTTGGCTAAAACCAAAACTTTCAAAGGATTTTGGCAAATAGTTTTTAATTTCAATTCAAGTTTCTACTGAATCAGGACAATTGCTCAGAAGAATTCTCATGGATAGAGCATTCCCTCACGACAACCATTTCCATAATGTGTTGTGTTATGTGGGGGTATGTGGAGCTTGTTCGGTCCCATTGCCTAAGATCGAATGAGAAATGACGGTTTAATAAAAACAAAATTAAAAAATCCTAGTTTTTTACTAAGGTTGTAGTATGGAAACCTTCAATCTAAAACCGTTTAGAAATTCCTACATGAAACGTCATTATATAACTCAATTCTACAATATTTCTATGTTTCTTTTCAGCTATTCTATTTTGTTCAGGGGTTCATGGATATGATATTTGTTACACAATTTTGTTATCACTAAGATGAGTAATGAATTCATTCGTAGAAAAGTCACCACCTCCATCACACTAAAACTACAAATCCTTTTTTTAAATCTCCTTTCAACTATACAATGAAATTTCATAAATGCAAAGAAAAATTCAGATTTTCAAATGACGAATTCAAGAAAAATTAGTATAATCATCTACAAACATGACATAAAAGTGATGACCATTATTAGATAAAATTAGAGTAGGACCTCGTAAATATGATTAAATCTTACAAATATATTATGTAGAGATTTTATTAGTATTACTAAATTGGAGTTTATAACTTTTTCCAGTTTGGTTGTTGGATTTATGTGGCCAGTAAAGGCCTTATGAGAGCTTGTATAAGCATTTTATATAGCGAAACATAAACTTAGTAGGAATGTGGTCATCTTGTGAACCATAATAGGAAAATATTATTTGCCAAAACTCGGATTAGACTCAACGTGCTAGGCTAGTCGAGTTGGAAAACCCAATATACTTGAGCATAGAGTTAAAACTAAGGAGAGTTCAGTGGGTCGGCCCTCGATGAGGTTGGTGTTTGCCCGGATGAGTGAGCTGAGGGACTGTGTGGCCTTTGTGCATGATGGTTGGCCTTTACAGACATCGCTAAAACTTCATCATAGTATCATTATACGGCATGTACATAGATAGCCGTATCGAAATAGCAATCCACCATTGAGGGTGAAGTGTGTACATGTGTGAGAGATTATTCCTATGCACCATGGAGCTGTGGTTACATCATGGTCTGGAGGACCATAGATTTGTCTCTAGGGCAGAACCTAAAATTCATGGGCTGAGATTACGTCCCCTAGCCCATTGATTGACTTTAGTGGCCCAATTATGAACTCTTATAGTGAACTGTAGGTCATGAGAACTGTTGGCTCAATCATCAAAATTAATTAGTTTTAATTAAATTTATGTTATATGATTTTTAAAATGATTATTTAAATTTTTTTATTCTCTTGATATTTAATTTTCATTATTTTGATTTATAAAATAAGAGACAATCAATTTTTAATGTTTTAAATAATCTAAACGAAATAACTTCAATTTTAAAATTCGAAAAATAAAAAATAAATATTTTTTAAAATATCTGTGACCGTTCGTAAGATATGGGGGCCCATTTAAAAACATATGGAAGATTGGGTGGGGCCCATGAAGGGCCACCCTAGGTGGCACGCCCCACTCATAGGGTGCTTTACTTACTAAAATTTGTAAGAGCCCTCCATGCTAGTAAGCTGTCTATTTTGTATGAAGCCTAATTATATTATGAATCAATTTAGTGTTTATTTGGGTCAAAAATTTATAATCAAAGGGGTCCAGGGGGTTGTAAGATACAAAAGATGGAATCATTTTGCTTACAAGTAATATTTTCAATTCTTGGGTCCCATGAGATATGAAGTTAAAATAGGGGATAAAGAGATATTTTCCCTTCTAAAATTTTAGGATACGCTCTCTCCGAAACTTTAAACATGAAATAGTTCCCCTCTTCAATAATTTTGAGATGGTTTCTCTTTCTAAACATGTTTAAGTAGTTTCACTCTCTAAAATATGATATAGATATTCTCTCAAATTTCAATATACTTTCTCTTTCTAAAAGCTAAAATTTGAGATAAATTCTCTCTAAAAATTTTGCGGTAGTTTCTTTATCTAAAATTTTTTATGTACTCTCTCTCTAAAATTTGATATAGTTGCTCCCTTAAATTTTAAGATGCTTTCTCTCTCTAAAACTTCAAGTTTGAGATAGTTTTTCTCTCTAAACTTTTGAAATAGTTTCTCTTTAAAATTTGATATAGTGTAAAATTTGAGATACTTTCTCTCTTAAAAACTTAAATTTTGAGATACTTTCTCTCTAAAAATTCTTTAGATAGTTTCGCTCTCTAAAAATTTCATGTACTTTCTCTATCTAAAATTTGATATAGTTTATCTCTCCAAAATTTTAAAATACTTTCTCTCTATAAAACATAAATTTTGTGATAGTTTCTCTCTCTAAAAATGTTGAGATAGTTTCTATCTCTAAAATGTTTTAGGTAGTTTCTCTCTCTAAAAGTTGATATAATTTGAGCTTTAAAATTTTAATAGATTTTCTCTCTCTAAAATTCCAAATCAAGATAGTTTCACTCTAAAACTCGAAATTCAATATAGTTTCTCTCTCCAAATCAAGATAGTTTCTCTTTTTAGAATTTATAATAATTTTTCTATAAAAGTTTAAGAATATTTTCTCTCTCTACAATTTTAAGAATACTTTCTATCTCTAAAACTTAAGATTTGATATAATTTCTCTCTCTAAAAATAAACTATGAGATTGTTTATCTCTCTAAAAGTTTGAAATAGTTTATCTCTCTAAAAATTTGCATGCACTTTTTCTCTCTAAAATATGATAGTTTCTCTCTACAACTTAAAATTTGAGATAGTTTCTCTCTCTAAAATTTTGAGATAGTTTATCTCTCTAAAAAAAAAATTGTACTTTCTCTCTCTAAAATTTTAACATATTGTCTCTCTCTAAAATTTTAATATACTCTCTCTAAAAATTAAAATTTAAAATAGTTTCTCTCTCTAAAATTTTGAGATAGTTCATCTCTCTAAAAAATTTGAAACTTTCTCTCTCTAAAATTTTAGCATACTTTCTCTCTAAAAGTTAAAATTGGAGATACTTTCTCTTTCTAAAATTTTGAGATACTTCATCTCTCTTAAAAAATATAGTACTTTCTCTCTCTAAAAGTATAACATACTTTCTCTCTAAAATTTTAACATACTTTCTCTCTTTAAAAGTTAAAATTTGAGATAGTTTATCTCTTTAAAAATTTTGAAATAGTTTCCCTCCTTAAAAAATGTAGGTACTTTCTCTCTCTAAAATTTTCATACCTACCAAATGCTCATCATGTTTCAGGTCGAGGGAGTGAATGAGTAAAATCCATAGGCTTTGCAAATGCCAAAAAACAGGTTTAGGTATGGAAATGAAATCATAGAAAAGTAGGTCTTATTTGTATGATTTTGAGTTTTTTGATTTTAAGTATCCTAGTCATTAAGCAATCCAAACGGCGGCATTTAGCAAAAACCAATATATTAAGATTCCATACTTTACAATCTATGTACCCAAACAGGCCCTAAGGATTGGGGATGAAAATAATTAACATCCAAGCTGGGAGTGATTGTCATTCATTCTCCAAATTGGGGTGCCTATTGCCAAAAAAAAAAAATTGTAATTTCACATGGGTGTCGACAGTAAAGGAAAGTCTACATTGAAGAAACATCCACATTCCTATTTAGTGGATAGAAAATACACAATATATAAGTTTAATAAATATGAAAGTGTGTGCACTTATTGAAGGTGAAAATTATAGATGGGTTGTACTTATTATCTCTTGTTTCACTACCTTATATGTAGCAATTTTGAAAGCATCACCATTTGTGCATGATATTCCATTAGTCACTCTCTCTCAAATCTCTTTTTTCTCAAAAAATTACGCACACCTAAATTTGCTCTTTAATTTCTCAAAAATTTACGCACACCTAAATTTACTCTTTAAATTGGATAATTTTGGATAACAATACCGCAAGATATAAGAGAAGAAAAATAGGCATGTTTGATCTTTTTTTTAGCATCTCCATTTGAGTGTCAACATCTTCTACAATAATCATAACATTATTATTCTACTGCGATAAGATGAGTGAGAGTAGACTTAGTTGGGTTGGCCATGTGTGGCGCATTCCCAATGCACCACCTTTTAGAATATGCGAGTTAGTTCAAGTGGAATGCTCAAAAAGGACAAAGGGTCAGCCCAAGAGGATATAATTGAAAGCAGTGAGAAAAAATATGGGGACTTATGACCTCTTTGAAGGTATGACCCTTAATAGAGCATAACAGTGGGCCAATATTCGTATTGCCGACTCCAATTAATTGAAAAAAGCTTTGACGACGACGACAATGATGATGATGATTCTACTGCGAACTCTAAATGATGCTAAATTAGGATTGGAGTATGTTACTCGATTCAATAAAAATTTTCAAAATTAATAGAAGTATAGTTTGCGATCAAATTAAGATTGAAAGGCAATGCCCTTAAAAAATGACTCCCAATTTTCGTAATGGAGCTAACTCAACTCAATCCTGAGAAGTGGACATGAGATAATTTAATAGAATTTTAAACCCTTATCAATTTTTTTAGACATATATATATATATATATATATATATATATATATATATATAAGTATAAATAGAGATAGTATTTATTTTAGTAAGTAAAGTAACTACACTAATTAACTTAACTAACTACTACTTATAGTAGTAATTAGTATATCCGTACGGTATGTACACTAAGTT